CAAGTGTGTGCCCACAGCGGCGATCGAGCCCAGAGAAAACGCAGCCAGGATTAACGCGCGCAAGTCGGGGGTAGACAGGGGTAGCTTCGCTGATAGTGTCCGCGAAACGATGTCGGGGGAATTAAAACCCGATCCCGGCGGCAAAAAAAAGGCGCCGGGCGTGAAGCGATGCAAAATGCTGTGCAATGGTAAGCGAAGTGAAATAATCAGCGAGGTGAAGTCCTTGGTGTACTTCGGGTCCTCGCGATGTGGGTTCAACATGTCGCCAACTGATTTACAGCTTGCGACTTGAAAGCTATAAAGGCAAGGTTGCGCAGCGATGTCAGTAGTACAAACTTTGTGGCTGCAAGCAACCGAAATCAACCAAGATGCACCTCACGAGCTCCATTCTCATTATCGCGGCGGTTGTGACCGACACCCTTGCGTTCGGGGCCCCGTCATGGGAAGAACACCAATGGATTGCTCCAAACGCTACCGATTCTCGGTCGCCTTGCCCGGGACTGAACACGCATGTCAAATTTTCCCTTATCTTTTCCTTCGGCTGATCATGAAACAGCCTTGCAAACCATGGTTATCTTCCACGTAATGGGCGAAATATAACTATTCCGATGATATTGGATGCTGCCATGGGTATGCCAGAAAAGATTGGATTTTGCGTTGATTCTCACTTAATGCAACCTAATTAGACGCATACCATCTTCAAGCCGACACCATTCTGTCTGGAGCAAAGTTCGGTCTTTTGTCTGGGAGTGCTCCCACAACCCTGGATCTCGATGCGCTCAAGCTGTAAGCCGTATTATTTTCCGGTGGTCAGAATGTTAAACACATAGCGCAGACACAACTTGCTTGAGACCGACGCGTCCCTCTCGTGCAGCGATTTCGGCGTCGGGGATAACTTGCACTTCAACGAGACTATTTTCACCACTCTCGCCAACTCCAACCCGGGTGTAGACTACTACAACACCACCTCCGCAGCCCAGGTTCAGGATGCCAGGCTCGCCGACTCGATCGCCATTAATCCCAACGTCACGAACACGGCGAAGGATTTCTTCTTCCGCACTGGGACGTCGGCAATATATCTGAGCGTAATGGGAAACCCTCTCACTGGCGTCGCCCCCAAGAAGTAAGTGCATCCTCGTTGGATTTTTGAGGTTGTCTGATATCTGGTGTTAGATTCGTGCAGATTTTCTTCCGGGAGGAGCGTTTGCCCATTGCAGAGGGATGGAAGCGGTCCGAGACGCTGATCACTAGTGGAACAATGTCGGCAATTGTGGAGTCCATCGTAGGGACGTCCAAGGGGCTCCCGACCCAGGCCTGCGAGCGTCTCGTGTTCGGTCCTGGTGTTGTCCTTTAATGGACGAGTATTTCATCCAGCGTTGGAAGTTTTGCTACTGGTTTCATAAAGATACCGAATGCATTTTGTTTGCAGCCCGCTAAGGCCTAAAACTTGAGACTTTGGACATTGTGCAAACAAAAGAGTTTCATATGAAGTCGCCATTTGAGGGAGAAATCGGAAGGACGCCAAGTGAAACTCAAAAAATTATCCGAGAGCTTGGAGAGCGCGAGTGGCTGGTTCACGATTGAGGAGATTGTGAGCCCTATCCGACATTGAAGTCGTTCCTGAAAGCCAATCGCTGACAAAACCATTGCCAGTGGCGCGGAAACTGGCTTCGGAAGCTCAGAGAGTTGAAGAAGAAAGCACATGAGGTGGTTACTGTAATCCCCAGAGTCTTGTATCTAGATTATTCCAGAAGCGGCGGCGCTGACTCGAGGTCTGCATTCGACATCAGTCAGATCCGAGTTGACGACAAGCACAAACAATTGAACCTTCTCTCGAACTTCCAGTCCTACGCGTCTAGGTGTTGCTGTCACTTGCGGAGGCTCGAATTCCCCAGCGACGCCGTAAGTTGAGCGCCCGGCTGGTCCGATGCTGGGACTCCGGCGTCGGCGGATTGGCAACTGTTGAACCTTGTTCAACTTGCGAGGTACGAGCTTCATGTTAGAGCGTCTGTCTACGAGAGACTATGAACTTTGTGAGTCGTGACAGAAAGTTTTCCAGTCGCTCGTTCACAAAGTTCCATGGCCGGAAAAACTTAGAAGGGCTACGCAAAAAAACTGCAGGAATCGCCTGGCAATGGATGTTTTGGCTCACGCGGCCCGTTTCTGGAGTGCAACTGGACTCGCCAACGTTGAAACAGAGATCCGACTCGGAGATCTACCATGTCTCGCCCCAATCTGGATTGTCTCTCAGGCTACACAATTTAATTCGCACACCGGTTCATCCTGGCTTCATCGGCTAGTTCGCGGCCAAGAATTGTCGTCTCTCTCGCTTCTTCAATCGTCGTGGCTGGCTCTCCCCTCTCAATGCTTTGTTCAAATCCTCTGCTGTGCTACGGCGAATTGAGGCTCTGCGTGGATCTTGGTCCGTCCCCCTGCGTCGACCATACCCTCCCGCTTTATTTGTCCAGCTCACCTTGCGGAGACTGACCGTCGGACACGGCCAGAAAGGAAAAGGAACTTCCGGCGCTCAGATATTGCAGCGTTGGGACGCGTAATTCACGGACTAGCCCTACTGCAGTGGCTTGCCTTGTCCTACGCGTCTACTTGGCTGCTGCTTCGCCGGAGGCTGTCAAATCTCTCGAGAACCGACTCCGGGGATAGCGCGTCCGGTCTGTCCGATGTCGGACTAAACTACAACTTTGTGAATATGGTTTCACCCGCCCAGCCCATCATGCAGTAGAGAAGAGACACTCAGTCAATATAAAACCCCTTGTAGTTACCGTTACTTACCCCAACCTAGATACTAGAGTATTACTGCATAGCCCTTACGGCCAGGTACAGCAACAAATAGAAATTCAGTTCAGTTCAGTTCAGATACTATCAGGCGCTGGGAACCTGGCCACCTTAGGGGTTTTACCCTATTAGCGACTCCCTCGAGGATTTTGTTGTACATCCTAAGGCGCTAGATGGTAGGCGCGCATCTTTTAAACAATTTAAGCCCATTTGAGGTACATTTCGTGACATTTTGAGTGTGCTATGAATTTACTTCGAGCGGAACTCCCGAAAAGGCAATTATGGGGAACCTGGCCACCCACGCAAATCCATTGTTACCGGCTCAGTTAGTACCACCGCGGTGTATGATAATGTTCGGGCGACCCAACCACTGTATTGTAGGTAGTAAAAGGCTATGCTGGACCTAGGAAAATGGTAGAACTGATTGCTTTCTATGCCAGACTCATGCGACGGGATCCATACCGCAGATCAAATAAGGGTCGCGCGGCGGTGAGAGGACAGGGTTGACCAAAATGAGTTTCAAGTAGCTTCGTAAGAAATAAATGGACATACCTGGGCCCGCCATTCCACTCCTGAGTCAAACTGCCGAGAACCCGGCATATAGACATTGTTACTAGAGAAAATAGGGTGGTTTGGGGCATGCGCGACGGTGAGAAAGACATCAAACAGATATAATGGCGAAATACCTTCGAAACGGAAGCGAGCGATCATAATGGAGCATGCGAAGTTCTAGATCCGTAGCGCCAAAGGGTCGTTTGATATACGCGTCGCGGGGGCGTACTAGCATTTGTGCGTAGTCCTTCGGATACATCTTTATTTTTTCTTTCTTCTTCCCCTACTTCGCCGCCGGCGGGGGCTTCGGACGCTCTGCAGGCTTGGGCTTGGGTTTGATGGGCGCTTTGATGGGCCGGATGGCGTTCGGTTCAGGAGAAGATGTTCCAGGCGAAGACGACACCGAGATGATGGAGGACTCATCCCCGGAGATATGGCCGCTGGGAGGAGACTTGCTCGGTCCGGCAACGTTGATGGCAAGCTTCGTAACTTTGTGAATCTTCTTCTCACGTTTCATAGCCGAATACTTCTCCACTCGCGCCTTCATCTCGAGGAAGCTCGGGTCCGCAGTAACCTTCGCAGGGACCTTCGGTTGAGTCGACGTTGCCTCTGACTCAAAGCGGGAAACCAAGACGGAGAACTGGGCGTCTTCGATCGGGGACAGGGAGAGATCGATTGTTTCGGGAACCGGGGCTGATGGGATCTTCGCAGCCAGCCGAGGAAGTTTACCATTATTGGACGACTTGAGTTTAACCGACGGTGGCTTCTTGGCGGGTTCATTGCAGCACGGACAAGTCAACGCATGGCCGCCACAACTAGTGCACGGACGTACGGAGTACAGTTTATTACTAGCAGGATGGTACCAATTCCACTTGTTCAACCTCTTGTTAAGTAGACGAGCCCGCCATTCTGCTCACAGAAAAAAATGCAATGGAAGGGATCCAGTGACCTGACCCCAAATCGAACGAGGGCCTCCTACTGAGGATGTGTTTTGTAGAGGTAAACTGAAGCAAGCGTGGTACCAACTCCACCATCAGATCTGTTCAATTTAAGGGAATGAGATATATAAGTCGAAGTAGAGAGATAAGTGTTCAAAGTACGGTCACTGAATCCAAAATAGATTATTGTGTAACGTGGACAGCTGCACAGTTCGTTAGACCAGTAACTGTCTGTACCATGGAAGCGAGCTTGTCGATGGTACAGACCAGTCGATCTGAGTTTGAATTGACATGACAAGCGAGCTGTCCCAAAAAGGCTATTCCGGACCGTCTCCCGTGCGTGCGACCTTTGATACAAACAACAACACATTTGCACGAAAACATTCTCCTGCTCTCAAAGCTTCAGATTTCGGCCTCGGATATTTGCCATTTAAAAAATAGATACATATTTGAGTGTCTGGCGGCTTGGTTCAAATATTCACAAGTAAAATGGCTCCAATTGAAGTTGCCGAGAATAGCCTAATGGGGACAGGCCGCTTGTCATGTAAATTTAAACTCAGATCAACCAGCCTGTACATCGACGAGCTCGCTCTCATGTACAGGCTGGATTCGAGCCTAACAGTTCGTTTGAGACAGCTTGGGATATACATAATATTTATGGGTGTCTCTTTGAAAGATTGGCCCTTGAAGAAAGAAAAAATGCATCACCAGAGTTCATGACCTGACCCCGAATCGAACGAGGGCCTTCTGCTTATGGTATTCCAATTATCCATTAGCAGAAGCAGGTATGGTACCAACTCCACCCCCAGGCCTATTCAATGGCTGGGAATGAGTAGCCTAAATGCAAGTGAAGAATCGAGTGCGTAGTGAAGTGTTAGATCTCCGATCAATTCGGAAAGTTTGAGTGATGTGCGTCGAGGCCCGCCCGCTTCTCCAACCAATGTTTCGCGCTGGAAATTGTCAAGCTCTTGCTCTGAGTGTGATAGACTGAAGTTTTATAAGAAATATAACAAATAAAAGGCTCACCTGGCTTGTAAAAGGTAATGGCGCGGAGACAATGAGCCCTCCATCGGCATGGGGAAAATCAAACTCAGCTTATTGTCAGAATAACGAGGGAATTTCCTGAAAAGGAGTGTTTATGGGGATAAGACCATCTAAATAATTTAGCATACGGGGTCCCAAAAAAACTCTTTCACAGGGAGCCTGGAGGTGTTTGTAAATTTGAATGCAGAATACTCGTTTGATCGGATCTCTCTCATCCAGTGGGTCTATTTTTTCCCTCTTATAGTTAGTGACCTCCAAGTGATCTCCTGACTTTATTTTATTTTATTTTATTTGCGCTATCTCCGGAGGGAAACGGACAAGAAACATAAGAAGCAACATAATGTCCACATCTAGTGCACCAAATTTAGGCACAAAAATCATGTCCAACAGAGAAACGTGGGAAAATATAGGTGGTGCAAATTTGGCGCCGCGAATGCCTCCAAAGGCTTTGTTTTGGGCTCGGGTTTGGGATGTTTTCTCATTTTGTTCCTCGTGACTTAGATGAAATTTTATTTCTTTGATTTATGGAATGTCTGAAGGGAGAAACATAAGTGAAACATGGAGAAATGCGCCGATGAGGACCGCCCGCATTCAAACCTTGGTTAGTGTTGGGTGCCGAACAGTGATGCAAATGGGGCAAGATCTGATGGGAGTTCTAACAATCGACTCACACTGGTTGAGACTTTCGACTTTTTCACCAATTTTCTCACTGAAAAATGTCATTTATTTTTCAGACATTTTTCACTGAAAAAGAAGGTGAAAAATTTAAAACTTTTTCAGCACTTTCTTGATTCGGGGTGAAAATTTCGAAATAAAATCAGAAAGTGCTGAAAACCTTTTAAATTTTTCATCTTCTTTTTCAGTGAAAAATGCCTGAAAAATAAACGACATTTTTGAGTGAGAAAATTGGTGAAAAAATCGAAATTCTCAACCAGTGTCAACACTGTGAAGAATCTGTATTCAGTGTTCAACCTACACTGCAAAATAAATTATCAATGTGTGCACATCTTCTACACGGTCTCGGTTCAGAGCTCGGGGTAATATATGCCGTGGTTAGGAAGGGACGGCCCTGGGAGAAGTAGTTGATAGAAGAAATATAAAAATATAAAAATATAAAAAACCAGTAGCAACCAAGGCCATGACCTAACCCCGGATCGAACGGGGCCTCCTGCGTAAAATTCCTGACTATGCCCAAGATACTAGAAGCAGGCGTGGTACCGACTCCAGGTCTTCTCCATGAAGGGAATGAGCTGTATAGATTCAGGTATTCAAACTTCATCTTACCTACAAGTTACACTCCTTCGGGTTGCAATCCTTTGACAGAACAGTCTGCGAGCTGCAGTTGCGGTCGGGGGAGGACTCCGTGAATGAAAAAACGAGGAAGGGAAAAAGGTAGCAAATCATGGATTATGACCTGACTCCGGATCGAACGGGGGCCTCCCGCTAGAAATCCAGTATATTTCAACAATACTGGAAGCAAGCGTGGTACCAACTCCACCACCAGGTCATCTTAACCTCTCGGAACGAGTGCATTACATGGAGGTTTCGGGGCCGAATTCAACTCAACTCTGGAGGCAATGGGAGGCAGCGATGAAATAAAAATAAAAATAAAATAAAATAACTATATTATCCCCGAGAGATGTCCAAGTTCCTCGATGCGAGGACATGTATCGCTTGATATCCTACGGACGAGTTCGGCGCGGAAGATGTCACGGTGTGCCGGTAGACGGAACAGAGCTTGTGCTTTTCAACATGCTAAGACGTTGACACACACTGACAGGTTCAATGTTCAACCCTCTCTGAGTCGCAAGCTTCGAGGGATGCACTTTAAGTCAATGCAGACTGAGTCCCGAGTCCGAGCGGCGGTGTCGGTGTTGGTGTCGAATCGAGTTTAGTCATCCGTATCCGTGAAACTTACTCACCTCGACTAACTCAGACTCCACTGAGCTACAGTATAGCCATACAGCCCACGCCATTCATCATTACAGCACAGCACAGTCTACTCCTCTCCATCTCGACGCGAAAGGAAGGTGAAGAGCAGTAAAATTAGGTGGGGGGAGGGTGGGAGGGGGAGGGACGGGCGCGAGGAAAGGGCGGGGGAAGAAATACGCGGGGAACGAGCGAGTGTGGCGGGCGCGGGGAGGGGACGAAGTTGGAGGAGGGGGAGGAGGAGGAGAAGGAAGAGGGAAGGAACTCTCGACTCGTGGTTGAAGGTAAGGTGTAAGGCGCAGCGGGATAAAGCTGATATAAATGGGACTTGAGAGAGACGAGACGAGATACAATGACATGAAATGAAATGACATGAAATGAAATGAAAGTGAGATGAAATGAAATGAACGCCGCGGAAGGAGACGCATGGCGGGAAAGGCGGGGGGTGCGGGATGCGTGAGAGGAGGGACCGAAAAAGTGACAGCGGCACGAGGAAGACGGGGACGTGAACAGCGAGAGCACGGGGACGGGGATGGGGACGTGGGCACGGGAACGGGGACGTAAGAACGGGGACGGGGACGTGAGCAGCGAGAGCACGGGAGCACGGGGACGGGGACGTGAGCGACGAGACGGGGACGTGGGCACGGGGACGTGAGCACGGGGACGGGGACGGTTGAGGGCGGGTTCAAGGCCAGGCGAGGCGAGTGGTCGCGTGGACAAGGTGAATCTCGAGGCCAACCGAGGTGAGAAGAAGGTTGAAGGTCGAGTACTAGTCCCCGCGCGCATGGGCATTTCTGAGGCGGTTTCGCCGTATTTCGGGTGCTGATTATGAATAGGATACAGCGCGCGTCGGCAAGACAGAACGCGAACGACATACGTAGGTGGATTTGTCATTTCAGGTTCCAGGCGGCGAGCGCGGGACGGGATTTGGAGATGCGTGCGATGGTTATGATGGTTGCGATGGTTGCGATTCAGAGTCGTTTGGCAAAAAGGGTGCCGTAGCAGCGCGAGAGAAACGCAGCAGTGCTTCTTCGAAGAAGGAGTGGACGAGGGCGAGGGGCAGGGACAGGGGCAAGGCGGAGATTAGCGTTTGGTCTTAGGCACATTATTGGCCTTGGGTATGAATATTAATGATGCTGCGGAGGCGGAGGTAGCATCGGATGTCATTGTCGCGGGTGTGCATCAGAGTTAGCAATGCAGGGGCGGTGCGTGGTGGGAATGGAGGGTCTGCACCTGTTCGTGAGTACGCGCGGCGCGGCGTGTTGTCGGCAGGTTAAGCAGACGGAAGCGGACGAGGGAGGACACGCCTCTGCGTAAGATTGGGGTGGGGCATCTGACGATCGCCAAGTGTGCTATTTGTTTCTGTTTGCGCTTTGATTCGAGGCTGTTTCCCATTTCCTACGACCCCAAATCGCCCCTCATTCGTGCCACATCTGCGCGAAAATTAAACCGTTACCGAAAATTTCTTTAAAAACGATATTCGAACAAAACGTTCAGAGGGATTTCAAAAAAGTTCAGAACTCGACACACAGTGGTGGAATTCGGAACCGTTCCGGCTGCACCGAAAGAAATATTGTGTCCCCTGCAAATTCCTCTGAACATTTTGTTCTTCGGTCCCTTATCCACGTCTTCGATAAGATAAGATGGACCATCATCGGTGTGCCTGAAACGTGGGCTAACCGCCCCGGAACGGGGATCATCTGTCGTGACCTGTGACAGGTAACACGATCGAAGCTGCAGCATTCGACGTCGCGTCGCGCTTTTCCTGCCTCCACAGTCCCAATGGGTCGCAACAACACCGGGAGATCCAAGAAACAAAACAATGTCCTCGTTGCCGCGCGCAAAGCCCGCCACGGCGGCCAGAAGTCAAATAGCATTGCCCCTGCGACACAGATACCGCCTCGCTCTTCGACGCGCGCACAAGCCTACATTTCATCCCTGCAGGACCGAATCGACCATCAAAGCACAGAAATCTTGTTGCTGGGATCCTCCAACTCTCAACTCCGCTCTAAAAACAATCTTTTACAAGCTAATCTCGCCGATTCCGCGATCCTGATTACCTCCCTTCAAGCGGAGAATGCTGTGGCTGCTCAAAACCTGGAAAGCATGGAGGTTGATCTCGACAGCGCCTACTATACGATCTCAGAGCAAGATTCAGTCATTAAGCAGAAGAACCAGCGCATTAATCGGCTTCTACGCGACAAATCCATGCTCACGGCCAAAATTGCACTTCTCAAACAACAGGTTCTACACTTCGTTCAGCGAGCCCAGACTGCAGAAACCATTTCCGCATCCGAATCCCTACGTATCGAAACCCTACTTCAGCAAATCAGTTGCTTGAACGGCACGATAAAATCGAAACAGGAGGAAAACAAGAAGCTGTACGCGACACTACGTGCTACCGGCATGCGTGAAAAACGAGCAAAAAGTGCGCTTCAGACGGTCAGAAAGGATCTCGCTAAACGGTCCAAATGGAGCGGGATGAATCGACGAACATATCACTCGCAATACCGTACCCTCGCTCTTGCATTCACACGCGCCGGCTGCGCGCAATCTCGGATCGGCCCGCTCCTCACTCGCATCGGCAAGGTCCTCAATGTCAAAATCGGGCGTTCGATGAGCCGTAGAACCGTTGGGCGTGTCATTACGGAGGCAGGTGTCAAGGTCCGAATTCAGCTTGGACATGAACTGGCGCGTGCAAAAGGCAAAGCCTTCACAGAGTTCATCACTATCTCGCATCTGACTGGCTGAAAATCCAGCTCTTGCCCTCAGTTCTGATGGTACGGGTGTTCGAAACATCAACTACGAAGCGCGGCACATCACCTACGAGGCTCCTACCTACACCTCCGACCCAAAGGAACCCCCGACTGCTTTCAAAACTCGTTTTGTTGAGGTAGAACATTCGCTCGACCACACGGCCCAAAGTCAATTCGATGGATGGGGCATCGCAAATCAAAAAATCATCGAAACATACACGAACAGTCCTCTCGGCCATCGCGATAAAATCGAGGGTGTAACATATGAGACGGACGATCTCTGGCGCAAAACGTTCTCCTACCACTCTGATCATGCACCGGATGTTGGCGCATGCGCACGCAAAGTTCAAGAGAAGAAGTCAGAGGTTGTCGAGTCGGATTTAGGCAAAGAAGCGGTGGGAATGATGACGCCGAACGAAATCGAGGACAAGCTTTGGGAGGTTGTTCAGGAGATGTGCGATGATCCTGAGGGTTTAGATCCAAGGTATCGTGCTACTTCAATCACTATTCGTCGGCTCGCTTTTTAAGTTCTATCAACAGTGCCCTACCTGACGAACTTCGGAATGACGCAATGCAATCTTTGGCAACACGCCTCGGTTCTACCGCATACGAAGAGCTTCCAGAGTCCCAACAACTGATTCTGAAACGCTTCATCAAGGTTGGCTGCTGGGGACATAAAGATTTGAATGCGACGGCGGGTGGAGTTAAAGCCATGGAGGGAGTTTGGGAGGAATTAGGACTGACACCCCCAGTTCTCCTCGCCAACAAGGATAACGCGGCAACCATAGCTTTGGGCGAAGATGCCGATTCCGACGCCGTCGAACGTGCCGTGAAAGCAAGTAAACGCGGTGCTGCAAAACTCATTTCCATCTGCGGCGCACTCTTTCGACACAAGGAAGACAAAAAGGGACACCAAGATCTTCACAGACACTATTTTACTAAGGTCAAATTCGACATCACCGGCACCCACTCCACCGTAAAATTCCCTGACATTCAAAATGCCCGCTATGGAACCTTGCTGAGCGGCGCCGCGGAACTTGTCACCTATCGCCCTTCCTACATCGAATTTCTTCGCCTCATATCCGATTCCAAACAGACGCCAGGCTTGAACCATTCGGAGCAGAATGCTTTGAATGGTATTCTTTGCGACCACACGATGACCGAGTGCTGCGCAATGACTCTTTACAAAGAGGCCTTTTCCGATGGCATCGTAGCGGCGGCTCGAGCACCCGGTGTCAATCATCTCGACTTGGGACCACTTTACCAACAAACAATCACGCATCTTCAGACGGTGATTGATAACCCCGACCTTCTGCTTGATCCCACCACTCCTTGCTCCGAGGCAACGGCCGATGGGAAGCCCTTTCGTAACCAGTTCGCCGTTGATTCGGTGCATTTCATAGCGTCGAAACTGCCACATCTCGAGTCGATTCTGGTTGCATTTTTGAAAGGAGCGTTAGAAACGTGGAAGAAGAAGACTTTTTCATCTGAATACGACGAGGATGGCCCGATCGACTCCCTCACCCCAGCTGAGAAGGTCCTCTACTTCATTCCTCCCACCAATGATCGGAACGAGAGTGTCTTCGGCGGCTTGCGCTTACATTCACGGTACCGGTCCGCCAGCACTGTTGCCCATTTCAGCGCGCATACCGGCTATCATCTCAACGAGACGGAAGCATTTTCCGATGCGATGCTCAACACACAAGAGGACGCGCTGTATATCATGCGATTCGCTCGGGCCGAGGACGCAAGTGGAGCCATGCAGAAATTTCGCGAAGAGCTCTTGGCGTTCAAGCAGCGGATAGCCGAGGAATCACGGGAG